AATTTATTAAACTTCAAAATCGTCATAAAGATAGTGGTTCACAACAAACACTAACACTGATAAATATAAATCAAAAAATGTGTTTACTTGGTTATTCCAATTGGTGTTTTTAAAGGCTTATTTAATTTTATTCATCACATTAAATATATTTTTAAAGCGGTTTATTTATTCATTAAAACATCAACAAATTTATACATAAAACAAAGGAATTAATTAACATTTATTTTATAAAAGAGTGTTGTGAATCACGAATATATTGCATGCGTAGATATAGAAAAAAAAGCATGTTTTTTTTTATTTTTCTTATTCATTTTACATTTTAGAAACAAAAATGTAAAAATAAAATCCAAAATTAAAAAATCGGGTTTTTATTTTAATTTTTTCATTTCGATTTTATTTTGATTAATATATATTTTTTATCTTCTTTTGTTTATTCGATTTTTAAATCAATTGGAAGATTATCATATAGAGATATTACTTATAATGATCAAGCTTTGCAATACGATTGAAATCAGTTTTATAAATAGATATGCTTGATTATTATAAAATAAAAATTCTCAGTGCATGCTATTATTTTATTTAAATAAAAGTTAAAAATAAATTTCAATTTTGCTATAAATAATAATAGGAAATGTATTTTTAACTTTAAATTTTATTATTATTATTTTGCATGTTTTTATTAATGAAGATTTATTTTGCTGTATAAAAATAATTGACGTTTTTATTGGTTTTAAATTTCTATGTGTTGTTTAAAACCCTATATGTATGTTTTTGGTTTTATTTTTGAAATACAAATATTTTGTGGGCATAAATAAATCTTTAACCCCTTTGCACGTACCAAATAGACAAAAAAAAAGAAATAATTAAATCCCCTTAATTAACATGAATATAAATGAAGATCAAAAAGTTGTACCTACCGATTTTTAGGCTATATTTTTTTTTTGGTAAATTTTTTTCTATAAATATTAGCTAGGTAGCTGTTTATATTCATAAAAAATATTTCTATATAAATAAATCACTATACATTAATTTCGACTCGCAGGGTGTTTCACGTTGTTATGCTTAAAAAATTAGTTTTAATAGTGTATTAGAATTTAAGCATGACTAAAATGCTAAAAAAAAAACTAATACAATGTGTGTGTACTTCTTTCAACTAGTTCATGAATGATGATTTTGTTTTTCACTGGATTTATGGTGTATATTCAGGGCAGGAAATATTTTGTCTGCTAGGTTATTTTTATAATAAAAAAGTTGTAACTAATGAATTGATGTCAAATTATAACTATTTAGTGGCCATGGAAAAGTCCCATCCTAATCATTTAGGTTTAGGTCCTTTCTGAAATGTCTTTAAAATATACAAAATTAAAATTAGTACGTCATTTAAGAATGACTATGGTTTTCAAGGACAAAGGACCTCATAGGTTTCCTTATAGCAAATGGCTTTCGACCCAATCTGCTGAATTTTATACAGGATGATTCATAATGAATTCTACTTTTTATGAAGAATAACTTTTTTATCATTAATTTGAGGAAAAAAGTTATTGTTTATAAAAAGTTGGGCATGGTTTAAAACCAAAAATGGAACGATCTACTATCAAATTTTATCAGTGACATACTAAGTTAGTCAAAAACAAAGACATATTTTTGAGCAAAATGATATTTTTTGACAAACCTCGTATACGACTGATAAAATTTGATAACAGATGATTGCACTTTGGGTTTTAGGTCATGCACAACTTTTTATAAAGAATAACTTTTTTTTTATATAAAGTTAATAATAAACAAATTTTCCATATGCCGTCAACTTACATAGATACCTACACTGTATATAGGGTATTTTTTAATTAAAAGTAAAAAACTGTTTATTTAAAAAAAATCATTGTTTTTTTAATAAATGCCCCAAGTAAAGATCATTAATATCAATTAGCATTTACACTACCGTTACCGTGTAACACTAAACCGGACCATACTCTACTTTTATCTAACATCACTGAACTAAGTCAAAAAGTTTGGTTCTCTTGAATCTTCTTATTAGATTGGCATTATTGCGGAGCTGGATAACCACAACGTTCCATGTTGGAGCAGTCATTGTTGGTGACTACTGGTAAATTTTTCTAATGTATTTTCAACAGTCTCCACTTTAAGGTCCCTATGAAGATCAGAGTATTGTAGCAGTACCAGGGTGCATCGACAATGTCCATAATACTTTATTCTGGAAACGTTGAATAATTTGGATGTTACTTTTACTTGCACAGCCCCAAAGCTGAAGGCCATACATTCATACGTATTTCATTATCTGCCTGTAAAGAAGTGATTTGTTGTAGGTTAATTTGGAAATTTTTCTTAGCCACCAATACATTCTTTTGTATGTTATACCAAGCTCTATGTGTTTCTTTTTAATATGGACTTTCCAGCGAAGTCTTGCATCGAGTGTCATACCCAGATATTTTGCAGTATTGGCAAAATGAATCTGAGAGTTGTCTATTCTAATAGGAATATATTAATTTTGTTTATTGCTGAAGTTGGTATATGGAGAGATTTGTCTTCATTCAATTTTATTCGCCGACTTTTCGTCCAGGTGTTAATCTGGTCTATAGATTTTTGAAATTTTCTATTAGCGTCTTCTTGATTTTTTCAACAAGGATTGCAGTATCATCAGAAAATATTGCGAATCTATTGGGCTCAAGATTAGGGATATCTCTGTTATATAAGTAGAGTACTGGGTACACTGTCTTGAGGTACTCCTGCCTTAATTTCTCTTAAGTCGAAATAGGCTTCTTCGTGTTTAATTCTGAAATACCTTTCAAAAGTGTGCAGTGGTGTTGCTAGATTTGAAGAAAGAATTCGATACAGTAAATCATTCCATTCTATTGAGAAAACTTGGTAGTTATAAAATATATCCCCTACAAAAAAAACTAATAGGAACATGGATTAACTTTTTGATATATCAAAATCATATTTGATTTGACTGATTAATTCTCTAAAATTTTGTATATTTCTCCCTGTATGTGTTGTTATTCTATTAGGGGCAAATTATATACAGGGTATATTATAAAATAGCGACAATAACTGAAGCAACTTTTGGCACATCCCATATTAGTGTATTTTTTATAATAATAAAATGACGTTTACACACACTTGTATGACCTTATATAAATAGTCCATTTATAATAATTGTTTTAGGCGTTAAAAGATTTTTTAAATATGCAGTTTTTCTACTTTAATTTAAAAAAAAACCTATATATTTGTTTTCCAAAAAGCTTGGTATTGTATTTTTCTAGACACAAATATCTGAGAAAATAACTTTTACTAAATTACGACGTTTACTTCTTAAAGTATTTTTGAAAATTATGAGATTTTCCAAGTATCTCAAAAACCAGTCCATGGTCACTTTTAATTGGGAGGTTAAAAACTGCAATTACGCTATCGGTCAACGAATACCTTCTAATATCCCTTGGGACAAATGCGAATGAAAGCTACAGAGAGTTGGCATTCGAGCGAGCGGAAAAGAAATGGTGTCTTACGTTGCCATTTATATGAACCGACCACGTTGAAACGTTGGCTAGACCGTACGACTGGCATCGCTGGTATTATTCCTTTTCTGCTTGCCCTAGTTCTGGCTCTCTGTAGTTTCCACATGCACTTGTGTCAATACTGTATATACAATTCAGCAGATTCGATCAAAAGCCATTTGCCATAAGGAAACTGCCGGTTCTTTTAATAAACAAAACTTACTCTTACTACTGAAGTGTAATTTAATACCAAATATAAAATCCTATGTATTACAAAAGTATTTATTTTATGGCATATTAATTTAAAATTCATTTTTGCAATATTACCTATTAAGGCATATTTCCTATTCAGAACTAATCATCTCTTTTGAGACTCGTGTTGTATGCCTTTTACATATCAATAAACATAATCTTCGCCCTGTGATTACCAAATTTACATTATACTAGTCAACTAGCTCTTCAAGCCAAGTATTTTTTTTTGAAGTGTCAATATTTAATAATTTGGGATCTGTAGCTTTTTCAGATATATTTTTTTTCCTTTAAGTAAATGATTATTGAACAAGATTATGCCCACTTTTATACAAATATTTTTATTATTTTCTCGCTGATTAAAAAAATGCTGTAAATTAAAGATGGTTCTATTTTTGGTTCTCACTTACTAGAAGTAAGTGTTTTTATAATAATATAAGCTAGTAGGGGGTCTATTCTGTAAAAATTTGGTTAAAATTAACCCTGGGTTATAAAAATAACCTGATGTCATTTTTAATTTTGTATTCTGTATTATTTGGTTATAAATTTTAACTTATGTCAGTAATAAATCTAGTAATTATTACAGGTCAAACATATTTTTTCTTATTTTTGAAGCTGTGTTGGGCTTAATCTCAATTCACTTTTAGTCGTTGTCATGTCTATTTTAACTGGGATTGGTTATAAAATAGCTAATAACCCAAAATTAAATTGATGGAATATCGAATAGATATTTGGGTTAAATTTTAATCGACATAGTTATAAATAACCTTTTAACCTGGCGGTTAAAATTAACTAAAACGTTACAGAATATACCCCTAGATATGTTAAACAAATAATAAACAAATTCTATATTTACGTACACATTTTATTTATATTGTTCTTGTTAAATATTCTTTAATTAGCTGAAATATTAAATATTTACTGCATTCTTACAACACATATAACAATAAATATACACCATCGAATTCTGGGAAAATTTAGAGTAAAGAAATATTTTGACAAAAATGAGCAGTACAACACAAATCATTTTGCTCTATAGTCTAACATTTAGTAAAAGTATGAGTGAAACACCTTGTGTTTATTTTTTGTACACCACACCTCAATAAGGTATCCTCAATTTTTTTTTTGTAATTTTCTAATTTCACTTAACAGTAACAAAATCTTTTGAGTTTGGTTTGCATCTCTTTGGATGTTGTATAAATTGTATATAAAAGTCGGCATTTTTTATTGAATTTGCAGCACTTGGTGGCGCAGGCCCTCCTCAGTCAAGCGGACCGTCTTTTACCCCCCAACCTCCGCAACAGGCTAATCCCCCCATGCCGACTAGCCAACCCTATGGAGGTAAGACAAATAATACCACAGAATTGCTACACCAAATCTTACTGAGAAAAGCACCAATGTTAATATAAATTTTCAATACCTGTAACCTTTATTTTAGTGATGCCTGGTATGCCAGGGGGTAACCCATACGTTATTCCTGGACAGACTCAAATATATCCACAAGGTCCACCACCGACCTATGATCAAGCTTTAACCCATCCCGCTGCTATAGTTGGCCAACATGTAAGTCATAAAACGTTGCCTAATAAGTGGTTTGACAAACAAAAATAAACCACTTATACATGTTGGATGATTTTTTTTGTATCTTTAAACATTTAACTCTAATTTTTAGATGTACCCACCTGGTACCATGTACGCTGCTGGTTATCCGACATATTTAGGATATCCCACTTATGCCCCAATGCAGTATTATCCATCTCTAGGTGCTTATTCTTATGCCATGCAACCTGCACAACTCAGGCCCACTATTATGATACCTGTAAGTAATATTTAGATAATTTAGTAGCATTCTCGTAGATTTGGGATAATTTTTTTATTTAGGAAACTTTTTGAAATTTTTTTAAGGTGTTTACTAAAAAATGGCGCCCAACGTGGGGCTTTTTTTTTAATTCTTTTACGGGAAATATTTAGTAACTAGAGGCGATATAGTTTTTAAACAAGCAATTTTTCGTATTTAGAAGATTATAAGATTGTTTTTTTTTTAATAACTAGTGGGTTGTTTATCATAATTACTTATTAATTATTAAAACAATAAAATATAACACCAATAAAAATTGTTGCCCTTAAAAGGTTTGTTTGTTTTTTGTTTAAGTAACTAGGAGCATTTTTTTAATAATAGTTCTTTTTTAAATAAAAGTGCTTATATTTTAGTAACTTGGGTCTTTCTGATTTCTTTTTAAAGTAACTGGGTGATATAATTATTTGATTACTAGGGGCAATTTTTAGTAGAAGGGACAATTCCTAATAACGAGGGGGTACGAGTTCTTTTTTAAATTACTAATGTATATTTTTATTAGTAATTAGCGTCTTTTTAATTTATTTTTCGATAAAGGGTTGCTTTTTAAAGTAAACAATTTTTAGTAACTACGGGCTATTTATTTTGGGTAAATAGGGGACTGTTTTAGTAGCTACGGTCAGTAATATCTAGGGTCTTTTATATTCCTTTTTTTTTTTTTTTTATAAAGGGGGGTCGCTTTTTAATATAACTAGAGGCAATATAATTTATTGAATAATCCGGGACAATTTTTAGTAACTACTGGTTATTTATTTTCAGTAAATAGGGGATTGTTTTAGTATGGGTTATGTAATTTATTGTAAAGAGGCACTTTTTCGAGTAACTAGGGGGCGACTTAGTTTTTAAGTAACCAGGGGTAGTTTTTAGTAAGTAGGGTCTTTTAATAACTTGGTTTCTTTCAGTTACCACGGCTTATGTTATATATTTTTTTGTAACTAGGATCGTTTTTTTTTTATTATTTTTTTAAATATGATTGGCATTTATACTGCCCTCCTAAGCCAGAAAGCTATATCTCAATGCGCTAGTTCAGTGATGATGTAATTATGGTTCCACTGACAATTAAAGTGACAGTAGATTTTTTGAGTGCGTTTTATTAGTTTTGTTTACCTAAATTATATCGTTTTTTTACTTTTATAAATATATTCCTAAAGTAAGTAGATAGAATGTATCAAATATACAATCGTCTAGTTACCAATTACATACCTTTAAACTATTTTTTATGACCTGTAAACAATATTTTGAAATAAATTAAAAACAGTAAAAACGTATATGTCAAATTTATTGATGTTTTTGTTAAAAGTTTGGTTAGAATTAAATGTCAGTGGAACCAAAATGACATCACACTGAACTAGCGCATTGAAGCGAGTTTCGAGAAGAAGCACATTTTCTAAAAATTGTTTTCGCGTTCCCTCGAGATAAAAATAATTAAGGTACCGCTGGATAAATTTAAATTATTTTTTTTATTAAATATTATTTTTAAAGTTCGTGTATCATATATGAATATGTAACCATTTAGCTTAGTGATAATTACATATCCCTAAGCCTTTTAGTAAATATAAGTGAAGTTGAGATATGTAAATTTGTCATGTTTTTTTTTTAATGTTCTGAGTGAAATTTTGATATTTTTCTTAGTTTATCTGATAGAGAATTTTCAAGCTATCCGATGCGTTAAAAAAATAAAAAAAGTCGATTTTTTGATATACCGCTTCTTGGCTTAGGAGGGCAGTATAAGAAGTCTATTGTTTCGAAAAATATCAAACCCTTTATTTTTTCAGAACGGTTACGACGGAGGCGCTAGATTTGACGGTATAACTCAACAGGTATTACCACCCGCTCCTCCAGGTGTGCCACCATCAGCAGCGCAACTGGCGGCAATGGCCGGTCACCAAGTCGCTCTAGGACAGAAGAAGAACACTTTCTTGGCGGGCGGTTCAGACGGAGGTTACACTTTCTGGTAGAACGAGTCGTTTCCACCTTTTGATAGGAAAACGAAATTGTTATATTTTTATTTGACGGACAGATTCCCCGTTACCTAAAAAAAATACCGATACGGGGTTTTTAAATCTAGTCCTTAATTCATAGGCCAGTTAAGTTATTGCAATTCACAAATAAATATCGTATATAATTAAAATGTCATTTTGATGTCACCTGTCATTGAAATTTCATAAATTTAAGAGGACTCTAAATATCTTTTTATTCAATATTACGTTATTATAAATTTTAATTGAACTTAAAGGATGGCAACATTTTTTATTATTCAAAATTTGATAAAAATCGTTAAATTTACTGTGATATGTCGAACGTCAAAATTTACTGTCAACGTCAAAGTGTCGGTAATTATTTGTGAATTGTAAATTATAATAGCGCACTAACAACTGGCGTATCAGTGATTATTTTCTCTCTTTTTTTATTTAAATGAGTCAGGTAATGAAAATCTTGGTTGCTCCGATTTTATAGTTAACAAAAATTAACGAAACAAAAAAAGTTAAACCAACTATTTAGGACGTAAATATAGTAGGTAAATAATAAAAAAAAAAAACAAAACTAAAACATACGTTTTAACGAAAACAACAAAAAAATAAATAAATAGTTATTACCTCACGATAGTTCTTTTAATTATGTTCAAAATGTTTTAAATTATTCCCAGATATCTTTGTTTTTTTTTCTGTATCGTAGTTATCTTTGCTAGAGTTTATATTTTGTATTCAGTTCTCTTCAAAAATATATACACTTTCATGTTAAATTTTTTTCCTGAATACCTTTAGGTACTTACCAATTCATTTGGTAATGTTGACATTTCGAAGATCAAAAAGGTTTTTCCTCTTGTTGTCGTGCCTCGTAGAGCTAAGATTTCAGAATTTCATGTTAAATTTTTTTCCTTAAAAACGGGCAAAGCAATATGAATACTTGATAAACGAGGTTATATAGGTGATTTGGCCCATTGAATTGACAAAATGTACCAATAAATCTATTTCGTTTACTTAAGTAAAGCAAATTTTAAACTTTTAGAGAGCGATGACTAAATTTTGCAAGTATATAAAATGTTTAAGAAAAAATAGAAATTTATCAGCCTTTATAGGCGTTTTTAAAGAAAAAATCAAACTGGAAATTCTGTAATGGTACCTACCTTTTTTTTATTTATTTTAGTGAAAATTTATTTGACCATAGGTTGTGTGTATTTTAATTTATATAAACAAATAATCATTTACTTGCCCTCCCCTCAAAAAAAAAAAACAAAAAGCAAAAAAAAAGGTCAAAAGATTCGATTCTAGTGCAATAAATACATTGATCGAATTGTACTTTGTTGAATGAGAAAAAAATTTTAATTTAATTTCATTGGATTTTTTTAGAGTTCCGAGCAGTATATACAGGGTGAATTAGAAAATTATTCTTGTTAAAATAAATGAAAATACATATAACGATGTTGCAAAACTTATAATAAACTTCTTATGTCTTGTTGTATAATCAAATATAATAGTCTTAGTCGCATTGCAAATCCGCTTGGTCCGAGACGTGATTAATAATTCACCCTATATATATGTATTATATGAATAGGCAATAAAAGTTTAGCAGAAGTAGCAAACTCTTCTGAATATTACAGATCGTACACTGAAAGTACAAAGAAAGGTAGATTTTTGTCGAAAATTAGGTTACTCGATCCTTTATGTGTCATATTATTTACTTACAGGGTTTTTCAAAATGACGGATTTTAACTAGTACGTATACCTAGAAAAGTATTGAACATATTTTAACCCGATTTTATTCATCTTGTTTTTTTTTAATGCAATAAACATTTCGAAACGCCCTGTATATCGTCGGTTAAGAAAAAAATCTGGCTGGTAAATTTGTAATTTTGACCATTAACACAGTATTATTATAGGTAGCAAAATAATTCAGTTCAGCATTATTTTTGCTTCTAAATGCCTCAAAAGAATTTTTTAATTATTCGTTTAATTTAAAACGTCACAAATGACATTGATTTGGATATCCTGTCATGTATAAGGCATTTAGATAACTGGAAGAAAAAATGTGTTTTTATGGATCAAAACAAAAATAAACATCACTTGTCACTAGTTTGAAGTGAAATGCTCGATACATGTTCAAATTTTTTAAAATATACTCCTACAATTACTGTTCATTTTTTTTATATTCATGACATATCAATCTGTAATGTTTATAACATTTTTATTTATCATTTGACATTTACAAATTGAAATTTTCATTGATTTATTGACAGCGTGCAAATTGTCATTAGTATTGTCAGTTGTCAGAGTTGATTTAACAATTTTTATGTACCTATATTCGTTGATTTGAACATGCGATATTTTGTATTTTCTGCGCAGCTTTCAAAAAAGTACCACTAGTCAATCAAATAATGAATACAATCGAGAATGGACAATTATTGATCTATTTGTGACATATTTCTTAAATGAACACCAAACTAAATTTTATTGTTACTTGCCGCAGTTTTGTTGTACTGATATTTATGTTGTTGTATTTGAAGAAGAAAAAACTTTACAATGAAAATATTATTGTGAGACTGTGGAGATCTATTGTGAAATATATTATGACAAAAATATTGTTGATTTTATTTTTCCAACGTTTTATTACAGGGATACAGTCGAAAGAAAGTCTACTGGTTAAGTAAAAATGTTTTCAAACAAAATTGGTCACCCTGTATCAAATGGCATACAGGGGTGGCCTATTAGTGCGAGGCAATATATTTCCTATCAAAAGAAATATGAGAAACTTTTAAATAGAAGATATAAGGTTTATTTTTTGCATATTTCTAAAAAACCGAAATATGCAGATGTTCGGGATAGTTTATGTCAGAAGTTTTTAAATTTTTTCAACATTTATTTCTGCGTAAAATGTTAAAAAGTCCAATACAAAGTTTTTTTTATTTCCGCAAAATAATGAAAAATGAATCGTCAAATATTAAAGAGTTTTGTTATTGACAGTTAAGTTATAACACACGGTAATTTTCGGATTTCAGTTTAAAAAGCTAATTTAATTTTATCATATTAAGAACCCTTAATTTTAGTACACAACAATCATCAAAAAGCACTAGTTATGCACTCTATATAAATATCAAAACTAGCATTTTAAGAGTAGTAAAATTTATTTATTAGTTTTATTATTAAATCATCAGCGAAAGAATCACTGCAGCTAGTAGGCGTTATGTATTGACTGGCTATTTAAAATCAGGATCGGGCCGTAGTGTAGGGCTTTAATCACAGAAACGATAAAAATAGTGAGTACTCTTGATTTTTAATATTTTTTCTGTTTATGTAAATCAGCTTTGTTCTCTTCCAAGAAGCTATCTATTCATATGTTCACTGAAATACTAGGAATTTAAAGGTAGCTACATGAATATAGCAAGTAAACTACAAAATAAGTCATAGTTGGCATCTTAGCCAGGAATATATTGTATTTTGTTTTTTCTATGCACCTGCCGGAATTAATTCTTTAATATTATGTGTTGGTCGCATATAAGCAATGAGGCCATACAATGTGCTTGGAAATGTTGATCAAGGACGACGCTCTGCTATAAGTGCTGTCAAAATATCAAACTTTAGTAAGACTAAACAGGGTATTGATATTTTACCTCTGTCGCTTTATAAGCGATGCTCCGCTATTTTACATGAATAGGATATATAATAAAGTGACCTCCATCCCTAGAGGGTTAAGAATAAGAGAAACATAGGACTCGCCCATGAATGAACCATCCTGTATATTCCAATAAAATAAAACTAGATGAAATTATATATTACATATCATTATCTACAATTAGTAATTAAAATTTAATGAGGGGTAAAAGTTGATGATTTTCCATATTTGTCTTCCCACATTTTAACAAATTCTTTTTTCCTTTGCTCGCGGCGGGCAAAATATTCTGGATACTGGGCCTTTTCTAAGGGGTCCCAGTGATCTAAAACCCAATCGGGGGGTTGAACTTCTCTTCCATAAGCTACCCCACCAGGAGACTCTGGAACTAAAAATGTACATTTTTACGACAGTATAAAATAAAGTTTTATGTTTATTGCCGCTTACATTTTCTAGGATGCCAATGAGAATTCTCGAATAATTCAGATTCTCCTTTTGCCACCAGTTCCTTAGCAGATCTGGTATCTTTAATATTTCTATTTTGATCAAATCTTTGTCTCATTAAAACGGCGTGGTACCTATATACTTCTCTGAAACATTAATATTGTATTGGTAATTGAAATCAAGTACTGTAAAAATTATATAACATATAAAATGATTGTTCAGATACCTTCTATCGTACCAGTTCTCTAACATACGAAGAGCCCTTTTATATAAACTTTGGACCTTTCTAGTATGGGTTGTTATACCCGTTAGTGAACCAGACATTTTTAGTTTTATTCGCTTAATTTAAAATATTTTAAGAAATAAACAAGGGAAGGTAGAAGACTGACATTGACAAAAATGTTTTGACACTTGACAGTATGTCATCTTTCATAGCATCAGGATCGCGTTCAGCATTGGGATTCTCATCTTTCAATTCGGCACGTGTTGAGACGACAGGGATTTCTATGTACGTACTCAATACGTAACGAATTGAATAGAGAGAGACATTACATATGAATTGCATTCTGTGGAACGAAGATAGTCGTCTCAACACGTGTCGTATTGAAAGATGAGAATTGCTAAGTGATTTTCTTAAATTAAAAGGTGTCATAGTTGAATGTAAAAAGTGTTAAATTTAATTTTGATGATTCTTTTTAGTGCATTTCGATACGCACATGTAGTCGCCAAAGTGTCAAATATCACCTCGCTTATGCGGCTTAATTTTGTTGATCGGCAGTTCAGTAGACTCAGTTGAATTTTGTTTATATATACGGACCTAAATTAGGGTAAATAAGGTGGTGTAACTTAGGCCCGTATTTATAAACAAAACTCAGCTGAGTCGGACTTGGGTAAGTCGTCCTTAAACTAAAATCGAAGTTCGGTTACAACGTCTTTATCTGGTTTCTACACAAAATCAAAGTATGTGGGTTTCTATATTTATAGTCTCTATAGTTCGAGGTGGTTCTGGTGTTACACTGGAATTTAGAGATGGCAATTTGCAAATCTGTAACTGTTAAGTACATTACGGATTTGTTACTATACCCATCTCTAAATTCACGCGATATAACCGAACTTTGATTTTAGTTCAAGGACCAACCCATAGATGCAGTCCAACCTATGAGTCCGGCTCAATGAACTGGAGTGGGTATAAATAAGGCAGAACTCAGACAGAATAGGTCGTCCACGATCAAGCCAATGAACTGGAGGGGGGTAGAATGCCAATGTACATGTTGTACTATTAGAACAAGGTGCGACTCGATGGGCGCAGCCATTTTTATTGTTCATCTCACTCGGGACTATTTATAATAACCATTTTCTGTTTCACATTGTTATTGTTCAATCCACAAGCTGGTGGATCAGACAATAACAATGTGAAATAGAAACTGGCTATTTTAAATGCTCCCAGTGAGATAAAAAATAACCTATCTTCGCCCATAGAGTCGCACATCAAGTCTATTGACAAGCATTCTACCCCACTCCAGTTCATTGCGATCAAGCACGGTCAACCAAGGACAATCACATGACTCCTCGACCGTTTTAAAAGAGTGAATTCACACAGCGTCGATCGATTTGATCCGACCAAAACAAAAATGGTTCTCTATTTTAAAATTTTATTTATTGCTTGTAATGGAAATTAACAGTTGATGCTTCAATTAAATATTTGTTAATTAATATTAAATCAATAGATATTTATATTAAAAAAAAAATATGATTTTTCTGATATATATTATATAGTTATTCAAAATAGATCATAATAATAATAATATAAATATTAACCTTCGGCCATTTTTTTAACATATATCTATTTTATAACGTATTTAAATTCTTTATAACCTAACTTTTGATCGTCCACCATCGAGCGATCAACCAAATTTCAAACAAACTCGAAAAGTGAAATTGCTTGGTCGAGGACGGTTGATGACGGTGGCGCTCGATCGGCTTAGTGTGAGGTATGCCATAAGCTTACGCATGTTTGAAATTGAAATTTTGGACGATCGCGGACGGTCGACGTGAACGAGCTGTCTGAGTTCTGCCTAATCCCGAGTGAGATGAGAAATAAAAATGGCTGCGCCCATAGAGTCGCATCTTGTTTTATTGATACAATAGGTCTTTTCCTTTGCATCGAAAGTGTAGCACTGAGCTACGTCACTTCTGAAAATATCGTTCAATCCATACAAATTAGGTCTGTTCTGGTTTTGAGAAATAACGATCCACAACTGTCGGGCTCATGCGCAGTAGATAAAAAGTGTTCTGGTTTTTCTGGGACTACTTCGGATCTCTCAGTCCAGTGTTCTGGTTTCGTATCCGAAATAATCCGTGATTGTTGTAAACAGTCAAAAAGTGTTCATGCTTGGGAGTGTGGATCGACTCGGACTGTTTTGACCGCGCATGCGTTTTTGAAGTGTTATGAATATTGTATTGGCTTTTTAGACCATACGAAACGTATACAATCCCAAATTGTTTATTTATATGTGGACGAATGTCTCTTGTTCTTGTTTTATTTGTAAATTAAAGCAATTTTAGAATTATTAATTTTTTAATATTCTGTTTTTATTTATTCCATTGAAATGTGATGATAATGATAAACATATACATGCAAATGTTATTTGAAGCTGAGCTTTCAAAAGGAACTTCATTATTATAATAAACAATAAACAAAACACCTTCATGACGTGGTCTGGTTTTCCAAGAATTTCAAACAGTCGGGGATTTTTTGCCTTTACGCATACGGTCCGGCGCAGTTTCAAAACAGTTTTCATTTTGAGAACCAGAACAAACCTTTTGTTGCTGCGTTTGAGAATCCACATCGGATGCATCTGAGATGTAAAAAATCTTTGATCACGTGATTCAGTATACGTAAATGTAATGGGACAGATGTGTCCGATGTGAATAAAAAAACGCTCGAGATGTAAAAAATGCATCCGATGTGGATTCTCAAACGCAGCATGTGTATACGGAACGATATTTTCAGAATTGGTGTAGCCCAGTGCTACACTTTCAATGCAAAGGAAAAGACCTAATATGTACATTGGCTTTCTACTCCACTCCAGTTCATTGGTCCGACTCAGCTGAGTTTTGTTTATAAATACGGACCTTGGTGTCCACCAATGAGGTACCTCCATGGTGTCCACGAACCGTGGGTGTAACTGGTGTAATTTACACTGGTGAACACTGCACCGACAGCGAACGAAAGAACATGTATGATTTTTGATTGTCAAAAATTGAATGTGTCAAAGATAAATAATTTTTTAATTAATTCATTGTCCAGCAGTATCAGTAATCAGTAAACAGATTGTAGCGTCTTGATAAAGATTTATCTAGTTTAATAGAAATAATGGCGGATCCTGTGGAACCTCCTCCCTTATTCGAAAACGTTGATATTAACAGCAAAGATAAGGAAGATGATGATCTTTTTGTATCTGCTCACCAGGTATATACATATATTTTTTTTTGCTTACGGATACAGTAGTTATAAAAACAATTCGTTTTTAGGATCCTATTTTACAAGAGTCGGTTCCGCCCAAGCTTAGTGTTACGGATATCAAGCAAGAATTAGAAAATATTCCTATTAATAACCACTCCAATAGTTTGTCATCTAGTATGGAAAAGGTAATTATATTAGGCTCTAATTTTAATTCAAAATAAGTAGATTAATATTTTTTCTATAAAACAGACATATAAAATCCTATATTAATGTTTTTTAGGTGAATCCACAAGAATATCTAGAAAATGAAGATGAATTTTTAGATATTAGCATTACAGAGCCCCAAAAAATTGGGGAAGGTATGGGAGCCTACATGGCTTATAGGGTCACAACAAAAACCAATATGCCAATGTTTAAAAAGAAAGAATTTTCTGTTTCTAGAAGGTTCAGCGATTTTCTAGGTCTACATGATAAACTCACTGAGAAATACTTGAAAGTAGGTAGGATTATACCTCCAGCACCTGAAAAGAGTGTTATTGGTAAGTTTATTTGTGTGAAATATATGTTTTTGCAAGTAATTGTTAAAATGTACAGAATAAAGTGTAAAAAAGATTACTAATTGTGCAATTCCAGGAATTCTATTTTTTACAAAAAGAAAAAACAGTCAAAAACTATTTTTATTCTTTTTAATGTTTATAGTAGTGGCTTATCTTTACTACCAACATTTTTATATACTATCGAAATATATTTCTTAGAGAATGATAATCAATGAAAAATATCTTCCAATTATTTGATTTTTATGAATTTTGTACATTTTTATCATTTCATAGCTTTAGAATTGTTTGGTATAAATTTCATTAATTCTAATCAAATAATATTGAATCATTTACAAAGCCTTTGTTTGTAGTTTGAACTTTATTTTCACACAAATATTATTTGTATTTAGCTAGTCTTTATTGGCTTTACTCATTCTCCAAAAATATTTAGATAGGAATTCTTTATATAAATAGAAATTGTTAGAAATATATCTTGTAACTGACTTTGATGTTCTCCATGCCACTGTAAATAATATTAATAGCTGTGTCCCTTCCCCACACAAGCTCAGTTGGCTTCAGAGGTTGAAATTCACATGTAGGGGGAGAATTAGGGAGAGTATTATTATTGTTCTAGAGAACCACCTATGAACCTAATGATTAAAATGAACAAATTTTGGAAAATACTTGAAATATAAATGTTTTCCTATAATTCTGCGAATGCATTTAAAAAACATCTTAATCTTATTACAAATAACTAAATTCTAAGTCTTAATATTGTGTTTGTTACATTTTTATATACTGATATTTATTTGATTCTTTTGAATGTACAAAAATATTTATTTGGTTTTTCCAGCAATAAATGTAATACTATGAGTGTGTGGCATTTCAGTGAAACCAAAATTCTTAGATTTATCAAAATTAATTAAATAATTATAATTGAATTTTTGGAAATAGGTATGTGTTGTTATTGAAACAGATTATTATCTATTCTCTTATGGAATACACAAAAATTTATTTATTTGGTTTTTCCAGCAATAAATGTAATACTATGAGCGTGTGGCATTTCAGTGAAACCAAAATTCTTAGATTTCTCAAAATTAATTAAATAATTAGAATTGAATTTTTGGAAAAATGTGGTGTTATTGAAACAGATTATTATCTATTCTCTTATGGAATACACAAAGCTATTGTAAAAAATTCCAATAATTATAAACAATCAAATTTTTTATTAGTCCAATTTAACCTTCTCGGGACGGCAACCATAATAACGATTTAAAATGGACAGGTTTTTTTCGCTATTTCTTGAAAATAATATACCGAATATTATAAAAAATAACTTTAATTTGATTAACATCATAAAAGGGGGGTGGGTTGGCTCAGTGGTTAGAGTCATGACTTTGAGATCGGAAGGTCTCAGGATCGAATCCCACCATTGGCCGGGATTTTTTCATTTAATTTAATTATTTAAAATTAATTCTGATGCCTTGGTAGGATTCCCCACTCGACCATTCACTGTTGGGTTCTAATTAACAGTGCTGTTCCTAAAGTGGCGCTGGGAAACAGTAACAAAGCCTACACAGAACACGAGGCTAATGGCCGTAGTAGTCGACGCCGATGACACCAAATTATAAAAATAAAAAAAATAAATAAATAAAATATGCGAAACAATAAATATTCAATATCAAATAAAAGTCACAATATCAAAATCAAAAAATACATATCTTACAAAATAAAAAAACTCCTAGTAACAAAATGAAAAACTCATAGGGTGAACCATCCAGTTAATGATCACTTTAGGCAACAGTGATATATACATATTTGTAAAAATGTTCGTTTTGTTTTTAAAAGTAAAAGCAAGGAATGGCTGGATGAATTTGTTTACTAATTTAACTTTTTTAACATAAAAATGTAAACATGTTTATTTGTTTAAAATATTCGATAATTTTTAAGATATATTGCATAAAATCCTAGCAAATGACCAGTTCCTTTGAGTAAATGACCAAATAAAATACCAGTAAATGACTACAAAATTACTTTATTGTCTAAAAGAAAACATAAATACTTAGTTTAAAAAAATTAAAGCAGTATTTCATACTTTTCCATTTCAGGAACTGAATACACATTTGCTTGACTACATATCAGCATTGGTGGTTCAATCTTTTTAATGACATCCTCTTCTTATACCATATTTGGTAATTTTTTTCTGGCCATTTCCAATTTTGTGCACTTTTACACATGACTCGCACTTCATATTCTCTTCTTTGTTTTTGTATAACAACACTGGGAAAATAACTGTTTTCATATTTGACAATCACGAAATCAGCAATGGTAAATGTAGTTGGTGGCATAAATTCATTGATTTCATTTTCATCCTGGTTTTCTTGTTCAATTTCGTCTAAAGATTCTTCATCTGAAATATTCGAATCACTTGAACTTGAAGAAGATTCTCTTCTCTTTAACTTTTTTGGTCTATTTTCTTTATTTTTGTGAAGAATGTCTACGTTTTTTTTTCTTTGTTCTTTTAATTCTTCAGCAATTCTTTTTTGTTCTTCTTTCTTTTCATGATATTCTTTCCAATATTTGGAAGTTATTGCCAAAGGGGCTTTTTCTTTAACACTTTTTTTAGTGGAAATTTCCAACTTTGGAAAGTGTAAGTGTTCCTTCCAGGAATCTTGGACTTTAAGGTAGTTCACTCGTAAAACGACCTTTCTTAAGAATTCAATAAAATTGAAATATGAGGTTAATGAAAGTGTCTTTTATGTACCTAAAAAAAAATAAAAATTTTTGACCATCTGTAAAACGAGATATTAACAATCAAAATGTGCACAATTAACACTCTTAAAGCCCTGTCATGTACACAATCATTGCATTTATTTCAAGATATATCGAAAACGGTTCTTACCATATTTTTTAAAAACTAATGTAATGTAAATCAAGAAGTTATAAAATTTTCTAAAAAAACGCTGAATTTTTTTAACTTTTTGATAAAGAAATATAGATTTTTAAAATAAAAATGTTCTTAAAGCAGTCGACGCATAGTGGCGTATTGTGATTACAACTTGGCAACGTTGTAATCGATACACTCAACGTCCGCTAATTCAAATGTCTGTTAGAGCAGTGCTTTCCAACCTTTTTATTGCCGCGGACAAGTCAAGTTTATCACTTTATCGAGACCTTCTGGGAAGGGACGTTGTTTATACTTTAGGTTGATATGATTTAACAATTTAAATTAAATTGTAGGTATTTAAACATGTCTTCAAAATTAAATAAATATGCAAAAGATAAATATAATTTTATTTAAACATGCCTTCAAAATAAAATACAGTTACACAAAAAAAATGAATATAAAGTAATATAAAAATTTTAACTTACTAGTATGAGGAAGTCATAAAAAATTCAAATAAAAGTAATGATTTTCTGTAGTATTGATGATATCGTAGGAACGTTCATGACAGCAAGAAATTTATTTAAAGCAGTTTGACCAAAGCCTGAATGGACAGCACCTTTAAATAAATAAAATTATATTAAAAAAATTATAAACATAACAAATACTTATGTATTTTTTTTTAAATTTACCTACAACTGCTTTAGTGTTGACATCTGAATGCTTAACTTCACTTTTTGTTGCATGCACTTTGTCCGTAGGTACTATAGTTTTAATATTACATTCATTACATTTAACATTTAAAATTGAATAAAGGCCCTTTCGTGTTTCATTTGTAATATTTTCAAGACACCAGCAACATTTTAAATGTTTTCCCAACTCTAGTAATTCCACGATGCGACCACTGCACAGGTTGTTTTTCAAGCTTGGGGTTTTCTTTCTCAATTATTCATAGCCAAAATTAATTTTTTGCGTTTGTTGAGGACGTTCTGCTTAACAAATTTTTCTTTATCTCGCAATTAATTGATTCTGACAATGAAACATTTTGATATTTACATTTATTTTACTTTAGGAATACATTTGACGTTTCACAATATATTTGCGACGTTGCCGGATGGATTTTACGCGATATAATACCATATTTGTATATAGGATCACATGTGTTGTGTGTACAGTCTATTACAAAAATAACCTTTCTTTAGATTTAAGAATCTCGAACGGTTGGTATTCACTATAGGGCGATATTTTTGTGTACGACTGTCGCGAGTGAACTACCTTAAGAGATTTTTTGAGCTAAAATTTAAATCCAATTGTGTTTCTTTTGACTCATTTTCCTCAATATAAAATAATTCTTTTTTCTCGGCAAAAAGTGGCTAGTTCAGGACTGATATGTAACTTATGTCCATCTAGCAGAAAGAGAACAGGCAATTTTATGTTATTATCTAACAGCCATGGATAGAAATTATTCGCCACATACTCAAAAAATGTAGGACCAACCATCCAACCTGTATCACTTCGACCAATATAAAAATTATCAGGGATAGAGTAAGCAATGTCTCTAGGTATTCTTTTGTATGGGTATATTATAAGAGTTGGAGCTACTTTTCCACTAGCAGAAAAATTTGCTAATACAGTCAGGCACTCTTTTTCTTTTCCGACAGCAACATCATACAAATTTCTAAAATGTTTTGGCCTTAGCACCTTTCCTGTTTTGGGGCATAATTGCACCCCAGTCTCATCAGCATTATAGACCCGATCAGCATATTCAAGAACATCAACAGCATCTTCAAGAACATCAACAGCATCTTCTTCTATTAAATAACTTTTAAGATCCTGAAACCACTTTCTCTCAGTGACCCTAGCTCTAGCTTTGGAAATAATTTCAGCATTTCTTTTCCCAATATATGGCTCTACTTTTAAAAATCCTTTTAGTCATTTATCACCGGGACGGTTGTTGTTGAATGGATTAGGACACTGGGTTTCTTCCATTACCTTTTGTACGGCATCTTTCACTTCATCTGGATGCATAGGAAACCCAATTTTTTCTTTTTGGATTATCCAATTCTCCAACATATCTTCTTCCTGAGCAGTCAAGATTCTTGGTGGGCCCATCTTTCTTACTGAAACATCGGATTTTCCATGCAGTTTATTAATTAAAGTGCCTATTGGAATTTTAAATTGTTTACTGGCTTTAGTAGCACTAATTCTTCCTTCTTGGACTTCTGTCACTGCAGCTTTTAGTTCTTCAATGAAATACTTAAATCTTGTATATGCTCTATTGGGTGCTTCTGTCATCTGAAAATAAATGTTACACAATTGCTTTATTGCACAAATAATATTTTAATACATAAACAGCAAAAAGTCATTGACTAGGCTAAATATCCAGTGAATGACCAGAAGAGCATTTAGATAATAAGAGTGGTCATCTATAGGCCAGTCGATTCCCTCATTATTTACAATGCTTGCATAAAAGAAGCATCCATATAGTGATTAAAGTACATTATCAAAACAAATTATTTTAAAGTTCCCGCCAACCCAGTAAATGACCACATTCGGTCATTCACTGAATTTCTCAGCTTTAGCATTACCTATTATTGACCATTTAAAAAATAAATGCTTTTTGAGCATATATTAGTATTACAGCCTAAAAAAATACTAAAATTGTTTCATGCAGTTTAGTCCAAATAACAGTTTTACAACTCCAATACATATATTTTACAAAATAAAAAACACTTTTACCTTAATTACTTGTGGTTACTTGAGAAGGAAACAAAAACACATGCACTTTTGACTGACATTTGTAAACTGCCGATTATGAGCAGTGTTGTCAAATGTATAAAAAAATTGAAAATTAGGTGAGGATCAATTTGTTGTATAATATGATGCCTTAGGTTATTAAAAATTCTTAATAAATCACAAATCAGTAAATATTGATCATTTACTGGGACGTGGTCAATAACCGGACGGTTCGCCCTACAACATAAAATAACATCAAAAAATCAAGGTTGATAAAAAATACAGATTGGTAACAGAAAAACGAAACCCTTTATGCATTTGATGAGACATTTTAGAAACAAACGATATTCACCCACAGAACTATTATGGTAATACTGACACTGACCAGAGATGCCAAAGAAGGCATTTACCACAGGGTAGTATTTACCGTGAACGGCCGTCTGAAAATAAAGAGAGACAGATGATAAATCATCAAATGAGTACTAAATATAGGCGGTGTTAATCATATTAATACCACATTACAATCAAACTGCGATCGTTTCCCGTCCTAAATTACACCAAGCTTTCAACTCGAGCCATTTCCCGGTTGACTCCTAAGAAAAATGTATGCAACTCCAGTCGTTAGCCATCCTGAAAAGGTTAAACTTTACCACTTATAAGGTACTTTAGTAACATTTTTACTTCAATGTTTATTTGACAGTCACTGCAAATGAAGTGTGTGCTGCCTACGTCCATGCAGGTTTAAAACAGAGTAATCCATTTTTATTCAATTAAAATATTCACTACACTTTATTTTAAAACACAGATTAGCTTTAATAATGACTACTTTACTAATGAAAACAAGTTATAAAATTAATTTAAATGGGACCAACCCTGAAGTACCCCCTTGCTAACAAAAACAATGTGAACAATGTGGTAAAAAATTATCAATGAACATAAAAAAATATTCCGACGAATTGAGAACCTTCTTCTTTTTTTGAAGAAGGTTAATAAGCATGCCCCAAAATAACTTTGGCGCACGAGTGTCAAAATATGACAAATCGCGGAAAATGTCAACTTTTCGCTTAGATTTGAATGTGCAATAGCATACTTTGGATAGTGATCATAGAAAAAAAAAACAATCCCATGATTGCAGACCACTTTAACTTCAGTGCAAACCAGTGCAAACAAGCTTGATTCTCTCTTGGCAGCTAACAAATTCTCCAAAAACACGAGATTCTCCTCTAAGAACAGTAACTAGAATTTAATCTTATCAAAGAAAAAAATTGCCTAACAACTCTTTGAAAAAAATTGATATAATTACGCACACTTTGGCAACACTGCCTCTAATTTTGTAAAATGAAACAAAAAAACTACTCTAAATCTCAGAAAAACATGCTCATTAATCTATAGAGATTGCTCAATACTTCATATACCATTGAAATTATTCGGGGAAATAATTTTTACTGCTGTGAAAAAAAAATACAAAGTAAAATGGACCAAAGAAACCTCTGTTAATAATATATTAATTAGAATTAATTAAGCATTATAATAAATGTTTATTTCATATTTGCTTAAGAGTTTGAATATTTTATTTTTCCCCATAAAAATAACTAGCTACTATTGAAAATTATAATGTAAAAGTTTTTTTTTTCTCATAAGTAAATTCACAAAAACGTTTGCAGGCATGACTAAAATTAAAATGTCTAATCAAGATGGTACCCCTACTAATGGGGGCAACGATTTCGTAGAAAGAAGACGAGCTAGCTTAGAAAGGTATCTAAAAAGAACTGCCCAACACCCTGTGTTGGTTTTAGATCCAGATTTTAGAGAATTTTTAGAATCAGGTAAAAACAAAATACTATTTATCCCATTAATTTGCTGTTGTATAATAATTAATATATATTTTTAGATATCGAATTACCTAAGGCTACTAGCACTTCGGCGCTTAGCAGTGCTGGCGTCATGAGGCTTTTCAACAAAGTCGGAGAAACAGTCAACAAAATTACTTATAAAATGGATGAAACAGATCCTGTAAGTTCATTTTCATATTCGATAATATATTAAAATTAACACCCAAGATTATATATATAAAACAAATTACTTTCACCTTACAAAAAAGTGACGATGCTTAATTATTCTTATAATGCTGCATTTACAAGGAATTACAAGAAATAACATTTTTAGTGGTTCGAAGAAAAACTAAGTCATGTTGAAGCTTTAGAAACGCAATTGAGGAAGCTTCACGCGAGCGTAGAGGCCATGGTGTCTTACAGAAAAGAATTAGCCCATTTGACCAACGGTGTATCCAGATCTGCTGCCATGTTGAGCGCTTGCGAAGACCATAATTCTTTGTCTAGAGCGCTGTCTCAGCTGGCCGATACAGAAGAAAAGGTAGGGAACATTTTTAATCGTATTTGTTGGATTACATTTATTTTCTATTGTTTTATTGAGGATTCGGTTCTTACATTTATTTAGTTAGTTTGTGCATGAGCCCTTTTATAATATTTACAAATTTCTTACAATTTAAAACATGACATATAAAATAACAATTCAGATTTAAAATTGTACTGTAACCTGACGAACCAGGTCCTAACTTAGTTTTACAAATATTTAAAACCTTGGCCTAAAATGCGTCTAGTAGATACCCATGAAGTGATTTTTGTAGGACCCCAAAATTTCATTTAGAGTTCAATGTAGCTGTAATCGAGGGACAAAAAAAATTAACACAAAAATAGATTAAGAATAGTTGTATTTAAACTTATTTCTTATAGTGGGAAGTTTACATGTTTGTTTAGTTTAACATAGTGTGGCCTTTTCCATGTCTCATTTCTAACCGAAGGAATATTAAGATCCCATGGACCGGCGAAAGTATGATAGATAGATATTAATTGATGTAAAATAAAAATAAGTATTTTACATGTGCCAATGTTAAAAGTATAAAAAAAAGATACATAGGTATAGATACAGAAAATACAGTTACAATTTAGAAAAATAGGCAAAAAAATATATAGATACACATAACATATTAAAACATACTTAAATGATAAAAATTAAAAAGGTATTGTAATTTCATCTAGCGTTGTGACGACGGCGATTTAGGTACGTCGCAGCGTTGAACGTCGCCTCGCGTCGAGGCGCCTAGCGTCGTGGTGGAAAGGAAGGTATTTAATACGGTAATGCATTGGGGCAGATATACGGTAGAATTATTTAGGTGGTGCGGGACATGGCGAAGGGTGTCGACAAGGATATTATGAAGGAAATATTTAGGGATGGCAGGTGTCGGGAAATAGGCGTTGGACGTTGACAGCGTTTGGGTAATAGAAGATATTGTAGGATATATGTTGTTTAGGAAGAACGTTTTAGGAAAGGTACTGATTACTGAACTTAAAATATAACTGGATACAAATAATAAATGAATGCTTGCACATCAAATAATAAAAAATGAATGAATACGAGCTCTTTTGCGTCAGACTTCTTATACTAAGTTTAATGGCTTTTTGTGCCCTCTCTGTGTCTTTAGTTCCCAGCGAAATACTAATGTGGGTGCAAAGGGGGTGGCTTATTTATTATGTGCCTTGAGAGCTTTTGGCCCAAGAGCCCACTGCAAATTTTTACCGTCATCTGATAACGAAATGAAATATACCCCAAAAGCATGGACAAACATTGTACTTTACCAAATGGCACCTGTGCCAATCCCAATCCTGAACAAAGTGGCTTAAAAAAATTATTTTATATCAAAAAATCACATAAGGCATGACAGCGCTAATTTTGTTTGCCCTTTAAATTTTCCAGAAAATAACATTCAAATATATCTTGATATATATCGTTAAAGAGAAACATTTTCTTCCTCTTAACATCGCAGAAAAACATCTATCCACGATTAGTAGGTAAAAATCATTAAAAATATGAATCAATGTTTGATGATTTATAAATTTATTTGTATGCCTATTGTTGTGATTCATTTTTACAGGTTGCCATAGAAACGACAAAAAAACTACTATGATTATGGTTTAAAATAATTGTCTAACAAGAGTTTATAATGATTATTGACTATCTCTGCAAATGGTTTATACAATGCCATCCTTCTTCCTTTCATACATAAACATGGTTTAAAAGGTAGGTAAAAATATTAATAATTCAGGTTTAAAAGCTAGGTTCACAATGAATTAGGATTGTAATTTTCAGGGAAAACACAATTGTCTCTGTCATGTCTTATGTGATTTTTTGAATATAAAATATTTTTTTTTAACCACTTTGCTCAGGATGGGGATTGGCACAGATGCAATTTGGTAAAGTACAATGTTGTTACATGCCTTTGGAGCATATTTCATTTCGTTATCAGATGACGGTCGAAATTTACAGTTGGCTCTCATACTATTTGTGTATCGAAATATTGTCAAAATCGGTCTTAACATTGAAACTAGAAAGATAAGCGAGTTAAGTGTTTTAATAATGATTACTTAAATATGTTTTATGATCTACATTCCCAGACACGTGCACGAATTTTGGATCTTTTTCGGACCTGGGTGTAGATATTATTTATTAGGTGTCGTAAATAAGATTTAATTATCTGAGAGAGTTTTCGTTAAATAAAGTATTCAACCTGTTTGACAGGTCGTTAGAGAATGTTTGCAATTTATGTAATGTTAAGAATGTTGACGTTAGAAATAATTGGAATTCCTAAAATTGTCAGATAAGAAATGTATATGCGGATTTTAAGAAAATTGATATTAAAGTAGTTAGGATGAACCGAAAATTCTGAAAATCAATAGGGTTCTAAGTTAGAAGTAATTATTCAAGAAATTCAAAACCGTAAGTCAATCAGAACTTTCGTTCTAGAGTTATGGTGCCGGCATACATACACACAGATGACCAGACCAATTTTTTTTTTGCATTTTCGTAGTCAGAATGATCGGAAACATGAAAAAAAAGTTTTAAAAAATGGGGGTAAGAAAATTTTTTCGTCTGCACGAATGCAATACTGAGGCCCCATTGGAAGGGCCTCATTAATAACAATGACAATAGATGAGAATTTGGGATGGTCTTGTCATGTGGACAATCTATGTGGTAGGCTTAGTAAGACTTGCTTTGCTCTAAAAGAATTAGCCAACGTTGTAAATCAAAACACTTTGAGATCCGCTTATTTCACACACTTTTACTCCATTATGTGTTACGGAATCGTCTTCTGGGGTGATTCTCACAAATTGGGATGAACTTTTAGAGATTCGTGTCGAGGGTTTTTTAGACAGTCAAATCTGATGATGGTAGAGGTAATTAAAAATCAGGTTTATTTTAATTTTTAGTTTCATCTTCATGTAATATTTAGTTAAGGATATTGACATGTACAACACAATACACTTTGTATATTGTTCCTAGTACAGATAAAGAATTTGATTTGAATTTAAATAAATTAGGAAATAACTTCACTGTTTGTATTTTTTCACGAGTGGTATAAATAAAGGTTCAGTATATTAATATCTAGTTATTTTAAAACGAAAACCGGAATATATTATTATACCTTCACGCGCTATGGACTCGATCTGGTCTAGACTGAATTTGTTTGGTTTGCATGTCGGAATCATCGGATGAGATCGGTTGGCGTTGCAAAGAATAGTGGGATTGCCAAAAGTCTTCTTTCTGTTGCTCTCTATAGTTTAGCCCTATACCCAAGAAAAATTTAAGTTGAATATGCATGTAGGATTATTAATGTTGCATTGCAATCTCTACGTTCTGTGATTTTTTTTTAAATAATCTAATAGGTATATTTTTGTAAACTGGTTTGTGATGGTTTAACGACTTATTTTGTATACAGGGTTGTACTGAATTTATTTGTTTTAAATTTATTTTTTATAAAAGTGTTGGGTTTAATGAAGATCCCTAGCTTATTCAGATCCTCAACACATTGTTTTTCCGATTTTAGGTGGAGGCCCTTCACATAGAGCAGGCAAACACAGACTTTTTTATTTTCTGCGAGCTGCTGAAAGATTATCTCGGTCTTCTAGGGGCCGTCAGGGATGCTTTTCACGAAAGAACCAAGTTGTTTCAGCATTGGCAGCACGCCCAACAGATCCTGGCCAAGAGAAGGGAGATTAAGGCCAAATTGGAACTGGCCGGCAGAAACGAGAAAATGGACCAGGCCAATGCAGATTTAGTCGAGGTACATTTTAGTTTAAATAGTGGCTCGTGGCAAATTAAAAAGAATGTTAATTTTTAGTGGGAATCGAAAGTCGAAAGAGGTCAAGAGAATTTCGATAGAATATCGCAAATGATTAAAAAAGAGATGGATCGATTCGAAAAGTGCCGGATCCAAGAATTCAAAACCATGTTTATAAAGTATTTAGAAAATCATATGGAACATCAAGCACAAGTAAGTTTTTAAGTCAGACTTATGTGAAATTTCATTGTTTTTTATATATAGGATTTTTAGTGTTGCAGTCTCTATGTTCTGTGGTTTAAGTGAGATGGGAAGAGTTATTCTACTTAAATTTTTTATGAAATTATCTGAATCGTATATATTTTTAAGCGATTTGGAATATTATTTGTGGTGCTTTAATTACTTTTATTTTGTGTACAGCGTTGTACTGAAATTACTTGTTTAAATGAATTGTTTTTTGTTCATATTATTTTTATTCAAATGTTGATCTTAATGAAGATCTCTATCTCTGGTTGGAGCATCCAAAGGTTCGATGATACATACGCGTTTTGCTCGTTGTATTTTTTATTTCAAAAGGATATGTAAATAAATATATTTTTCTTTCAGCTCATTAAATACTGGGAAACTTTTTTGCCAGAGGCCAAAGCGATTGCCTGACTGGAGGAGATTTGCCAAGAATAGCAGCATGTACATTCCTATTGGAGATTTCCGGAAATATGATGTTTACCCCGAAACCTATTTCTAGCGTATTTACCGGAAAACCCAAATTTTTAAAACTTTTTTTTCATTATTAGTGTTGAATTTTGTTTGTTGTATATATTTATCCGATAATAATTGAGCAAAAATACAGGATGTTGTGCAAATTTCAATATAAATCAATTTGTATGATATAAAAAAAATTTACAATAATTTGAAATTTGCCCTCTTGTAATATGCGAAATATTTTTATGTACCTACCAAATAGGATTTATATCGATTTGTCTAAAAAAGTAATGATTTTATTAACAGAAAATTGTTCATGCTTTCAAAAAAATGCAAGTTAACTTAGTTTTAAAAAAATACAACATTAAAAATGATCCTATCTGCTCTCTTTGCAGTAAATTGAAGGTAAATGTATTGATTTACAGTTCTATTCGTACTGATTTGTTTTAATTTCATATTTTTTTATCGGTATTATACGGCTTTTAAAGTCGTTTAGAATGGGCGATATCTTTAGTAACTTGTATGTACACTTAAATGTCTTCGGCTCTTCAAAGGGCCCGTTTTTATTTAACATTGGGTATTTTCTCCTAAGCTGTGTGATTACAGAACTTCAAAGCATAATTGTTTTTTCATTCTACAAGGCTTCTCTAATGCACTGCTCGATTAAGAACTGTCTACAATAATGGTGCTAGATTCTTCTTCCTAGAGAGTCCCATTCCGGATGTTATCTTTCAGATTAGAGGTAAAATAATTTGTATGTAGCTAGTATCATTGTTAACAGATGTTTTGAGCTAAAGCAGTCACTTTACTATAAATTGTGGCTTGCATGCTCTTTACACCAAGGGCTTTAATTGGGGCGGAGTCAGGAAATCTAATGACTTATTTTTAGCACTTCTAAATTAATAAATTCACACATTTTATAGGCAACCATGGTTTGCTTTGGTTACAACAAACTTGGATGCTACAGTATTGGAGTCGGTGCAAACAAAGGCAACCCTAGTTATTCTTAAAGAAGAAACTGTCAGATTTCATTTGACACCAATTGCGTCAAAATTAAAACAGCTTACGATTAAGCACAACTAATTATGCGTTTTGCGAAAATTACTTCGATTTTGTCGCAATTGGTGTCAAATGGAAGCTGCCAACCCCCTCTTTAACAGTAACTAGGGTTACCTTTGTTTGCACGTGTGATTATACGCGACTAATCACGCATTTTGCGAAATGTGCTTCTATGCGCTAGTTCAGTGTGATGTCATTTTGGTTCTACTGACATTTAATTCTAACCAAACTTTAAAACATCAATAAATTTGACATATACGTTTTTACTGTTTTTATTTTAGTTCAAAATATTGTTTACAGGTCATAAAAAATAGTTTAAAGATATGTAATTGTTAACTAAACGATTGTATATTTGATACATGCTATCTACTTACTTTAGGAATATATTTATAAAAGTGAAAAAAACGATATAATTTAGGTAAACAAAACGAACAAAACGCACTCAAAAAATCTACTGTCACTTTAATTGTCAGTGGAACCATAATTACATCATCACTGAACTAGAGCATTTAGACGCAGTTGGTGTCAATTGAATTCTGACAACCTCTTCTTTAACAATTAGTAGGGTTGTCTTTCTTTGCACTTGCGATTAAGCGTGACTAATCACGCATTTTTCGAAATGTGCTTCTATTTAGAACGCAGTTGGTATCGATTGAAGACTGACAACCTCTTCTTTAACAATAACTAGGGTTGCCTTTGATTTCACTCACTCCTAAAATGTAGCACCGGAATTTGTTCTTTTGATAAAATAATCTGCACTTTCGATTCTTTTGCCGTTGGATTTTAATCTACATGATTCAATTATTAAGGACGTTAAAAATCAAATGTGTCTGAAAGATATCGCCCACTTATAATTTGTAATGCATGAAATTGCCTTTGTGATAAAGCAGACATCGACGCATTATTTTTTGGGTAGCGCTACGTCATTTTGGCATACTATTTTTGTTAATAATTTCAGATCTCTACTAATATGTTAAGAATAAATATATGACAGTGTAAAGTTGGTTTATTTATAGAGGATTTTAGGAATATTCGATATTGAGAACAACTCGATTGTTGAAGTAATTGTTATAATTAAATGGTTCTTTCTTCATTTCGAGGCACTCTAGCTTAAGCCTCGTCTTGAAGATAACACCCTTTTTAATTCATATCTTAATTGTTTATACTTATATCTGAAATCCCTATGATAAAATAATAGTTTTTTGCATTTTTTAATATATCCCATTTTTCGGGTAGTTTAGCTCTAGCTGCGATAGTAAATGTATAATTCTCGAAATTTATCATCACCAATTCTGATTGTAGCCTAAAATTGGTCCCGATAATCATTGTATAAAACAACAATTTTGACATATCACTACACTTTGATCTTTTATTGGAAAAGTTGTTTCTTCTAAATTTTAGCTAACTGATAACATTGGTACTACTAATCATGTAAAGTGTAGTGATATTAAAAATAAACTACATATTAGTAATTTTGTCTTAAGATTATGGAGGAGTTCATTGGCAATTCAAATTTTCGGCTGCTACTAGGTCTTGTAGTAAATAACGAAAAGCGACAAAGTTTCTCCAAATCGAGCAGTTGGTCTACTAAAAATTATTCCCCGTTCCAAAGTATCAGTCGTTCAAAGTTCTATTTTGTCTCCCCCTGTTCCAAAATATTTTTGAAAAATGTACCTACTCATGTTTTTGAAATGCTGTTTTCTAAATTTCGAAGGACATTGCTTAATGTAGCATATTGTTTGTATGTATATCCAAAGTATCCGATGTTTAACTGGTTGAGAAAATTATCTGCACTAAATGTTTGATAATTTATTCTTTGCTACGTCACTGAAGAACGCGATTGCCAACGCAGGATTCCTTTTTTTTTTTTTCATTAGGCTTATCATTGTTTTTTCCTTCGTTTCCCTTTTTTGCTGACTGCTCTTCTACTTTACCTTTTACCTTCTAACATCTCCAATGGACAGTCGTTAGTATGGTCAAACCATATAACCACTCGACTTTACATTATCTTTTCCAATGACCATTCAGTTATTTTCGTACTGTCATTTCCAACCAACACTCCATCATCGACCTTCAGGCACTGAGTTAACCTAACGTTGTCCAGTTCTGCGGGGTTTTCGCTTTTTATTTTTTTCCTTAAATATTCCCTCAACTTGTCTTATTGAAATGACATTCTGACTGAATAGATAAGTACTGCATAATGTCAGTGATGCCAGCTTTAATAAGTTTTCTGACAAAAATAACAAGTGCCATCATTCAAAACGTATTTTATTATTCTCTATTATTATCTACTAATCTTCCAAAACATGTTTATATTAAAACATCGTTTGAAAAGATGGGGCTTATATGTCATTCTTTTTAGGAACGTATTAAGTTTCCATTACTGACACTAAACAATACTTGTCTATTATTGAAACTGACATTCCTAATTTCAATCAAATGAGGTAAGTAATTATTATATGCTGGCTCGAAGGACCATTCCTTGATTCGTTATATCTCCCTTTAAAAGTATAAAATAATACGAAAAATAGTTTAAATAAAAAAATGTGCATGATAAAATGTATAGAAAAATAAAACGGGTAGATACCCGTAATGTAATAAAGATTTATTACATTTAAAATTTGTTTTTGGTACCTTTTTAATTGAATGTATGTTGCTTGTTGAAGCCGTTCCTTGATGTATTGATTGTTGAAAATGAACTGCTTTTTTTCTTGAATTGTCTTCTTTAAGCATAGGATTGATATCTTCTTGAAAATCCAGCTCAAATGACCATGAAAAGTGGTGGTATTTTATATTCCTTGAAGTCTTGATTGTTGAAAGTGGACTGCTTTTTCCTTGAATTGTAGTTTTGTCTTCTTGAAGCGACGTGTATTATTTTCTTAAAAATCCGGCTAGAAGGACCATGAAAATCGGTGATATTTTCTATTCCCTGATTGTTGAAAGTGGATTGCTTTTTATTTAAATTGTAGTTTTGTCTTCTTGAAGCGACGTGGATTATTTTCTTGAAAATCCGGCTCGAAGGACCATGAAAAGAGGGTGATATTTTCTATTCGCTGGTTCGTTGCGTTTTTACCTGATAGCCTTTGAAGTCTAGAAGTTTTCAGAGTTGCAAAATAATGGTCTCGGCTCAAGAATGTTGAGTTCAACAAAATTCTTTATTTAATTTTTATAAGTTGTGTGCTTAAAACTTTTTAAAATTATCTTTATCAAAAAATAACTATTTGCACACTATGGAATTGTGTTGAATTCTTCTTAAGTGAGCTGTGAGAGTGAAAAAAGTAATTAAAAAATTACTTTTTCATAGCTTCTTTCAGTGAAGACGGTGGCGGCGAGACTTGTTAAGTCACGCCCCACCTAGGATCGGACCAATGATTTTGTTCAACTTAGCTGTGTTATGTATAATTTGTTACTATGGGCTCGCAATTGCACAAAGGCGTATTCAGTAACAGTTAATATCTATGTTTTGATTGGTGATTTTTGTGGGTTCGTCACTTGCTACATTGACAGTAAATGATTATCGTTTTACAAATACCTAGTAGAAACCACAGATCTGAACTTCTATTAATATTATTTGAACTGAACTCCTCCCTTCGCTTAGTTTTGTACTATCGTAAATGAAATGTGGCGTCATCTAGGGACACTAAATGTAAATTTTTTCGGAATATTAGTAATTGTATAGATAGAAACGGTAGTTAAAATTGGAGGTAAATTTTTGTACAAATAAACGCTTTAGATAAATTTAATGTGGATACCAAATGTGAAAATGACTTATAAATATTTTACACGCATCTTAAATGAATTTTAGATATATTATGTATGTGGTCCAACTGTCAAAAGTAGCTTATAAAGTGTTTGAAAGAAGCTTGTTCAATCTAAATGAAGTTATGACATAGTTGACAAAAGATGAATTGTAGAAAAAGGTATTGGAATTAATCAAATTTTGACAGCTGTCAAAAAGTTTCGAGCTGCCACTTATCACTATTTTGCTTTATAAAACTTTTAGAAAATTTAAATAATAATACTCGAATAGCGATTTTTAAGTATATTGAGGTGCCCAAATTTAAAACTATTCACAAAATTGAAAATCATATTTATTTAAGAGCCGTTTGGTTACAGGCTGTAACTTACAGCTTATATTATTGAGTATTGTGATATATATTCTCTGCTTGAAAAGCAGGAATGCTTAGTCTTTTCGTGCTACATCAGCAATATTTGAACTTCAATGTGTCGAATGTATCTTAAGAAAGTAAAAAAAGTCTAAAGTTTGCATGATAAATTATTAAGTATTATAATGCTTCCATTATCCCTTAGTATAATATATTGTATATTTTAAACCAGAATTGTATTATTTTTCCATTTCTTCCTTTAAAAATCTGATGACTTTCCTATTTAGTTATTACAGGCCTTTTCCGGTTATTTTGTACAACCTATTGCAGCACCTCTGTAAATATTTAGAGGATAAAATAAATATATACATTTTCCACATACATCTAACTCGAAACAGTTTTTTTATAATATATTCATTGAACACGAAAATACTGAAAAATTAAAATTTTACACTTTTCCTCCAATTTTTCCATTACGGTCCATTTTAGAAAAATCGTGTAAAAAACATAAATTATAGATATCGATATGGCAAACAACTTTTAGTTTACTAATTTTCTTAAAAATCAACATTTTGCACATTTTGTCAAATTTCTCGAATACGGACCATTTTAGAAAAATTTTGTATAAAGCAAGAATTATAGAGAATATTAGAAGTAACTTTTATTCGAAGATTTTTCTTCTCCAAACATAAATAACATACTCGTATCTCATAAAATATAAAAAAATATAAAGCCTAAGTTTAAAATTTAATGTTTTTTCTTTATCCGTTTTTGAGTTTTCTTCAAAATTTGAAATTTACACTTTTTCTTAAATATTTCGAATTTTAGAGAAATTATGTATGGGAAATGAATTATAGAAAATTATATCACAAACTTTTATTTGAACAATTTTCTTAAAAACTTGAATTTTTTATATTTTGTAAAATTTCTCTGATACGGA